TTTCGCAGGCATATAATAATAATTATGTGAAACTACTCATGCTCGGAAACTGCAAGGTAGTCCTAGGTTCCTATGCTCTGCTAGGAACTGACATGGCTTACAGCACTAACAATGACAGAAAATTAGAAGAAAATGATGATTATATTAATAAGATGAGAATTACAGTAAATCAAATGATAATTCCATTTCGAGAGGTGGATTCTCTCCTAAGCATGAGCTTTCGAGAGGCTCACTCTCACCCAATGACAAACTCACATAATACTCAACATGTCCTCTTTCCTCCTAATGAGACCTATTTATAGGAAATCCCTCCTAACAAACCTCTAGCTTATTCCCAAGTTACTACTAGTAGAATTTGAGTCTATGATTAACATACCTTTTCCCCTAAATATTGATTCCTTGCATGCTTCAAATGGCTTAAAGAATCTTTTACTCGCTTAAGTGTCATGGAGTAGGCTTTGGTTTTCTTGTCCAGGTATCATAAATTGAAAAATAAAGTTGGGGGAAAGAAAAGTAAAGTTGTAAGTAGTAAGATTATTTAGAGCACATGCTACTATGAGTTTGTATTGTTTAGGCATTAACTTGAATTAATGACTTTATATGGAAAGAAAACTAAGAAAGTGAAATTGGAAGCTTGATGTTTTACTCAGTAGGTTTGGGAGACCATGCTATCTGCAATCCTTTACTCTCTTTTTTTGGTTTGTTCATTAGCAGTTACTATATTTTTTTTTGAATTCTTTTTTAACCTACTCTCTATATTTGAGTGCTTTCTACTTCTAAAATCCTTTCTGTGAAGGAACTTCAATTAATCTCACAGTTAATAGTCTTGGGAGGCTGGGACATTTTCCTTGTTTGGTCCTGTAGTAATCCCATGTATGTTGCAACTATGAAAATTTCCTATTTTCCTATGGAGTATGTAGTTATTGAATAACGAGTTTATATGCATTTGGCTATCAACAATTCAACATGATCCTGCTTTTAAATTAAGTTGGAACTTGGTGATAGTATATGGACAAGAAAAGGGGCTATTCTATCTGTAATTGTTGTAGCATGATGTGGTTAGAAATCATAATGAATGGAGATTAACATTTCACCTCATAATGAATGGAGATTAAGATTTTGCCTCTCTCCCTCCTGCTCCCGCTTTCTCTTGGCATACAGTTTCTTGAAGTAGGAGATTCTGACTAATGGTTGGTTGTTTGTAGATGCATAAAAGGTGAACCATCTATTGAGGATTATTATAAGATGTATACAGAGGCTGAGAGTTATTTGAACCAGATAACAGAGGGCGTCATGCAGTCTCATACTGCACAGCAATTCCTTGTGCCTGGAAGAGTGGTAGTTGTTAAGTCCCAAACGGTGAGTTAATATTGAGAAAATCAGCTTCCATCACTTCATCTTACTTTTCTTGTAGCTAGTGCAGATATTATGTCTATGTAATTGCTCATCCGTCTTCTTCATTTGATACTTTTGAAATATGTGAGCTCTTCGCAATCTTTTATCATGTCCATTTCAAATTAGTGTCTAGTGGGCTACATTTGTTTCTTTCGCTATAGCTTCAATGTTTTTAACTTACGAAATATGCTGATAATAATGAAACATGTATCAATTATAGTTTTCCGCAAATAGAGGTTTATTGTATGGTGGATAAAGCAGTTGGATGTTATAGTATTATCTCGTCTTTAGCCTCTTACATATTGTTTCCCCTTTTGGGTAAAGTCATACATGTGGCCTTAGTAAAGCTCTGACATTTACCTGTCAAGATGTTTGGTGAATGAGCCAGGGATGCTGATGGCATTCCAAGCATAAATTTAAGCAGCTAGACCTGTATCAATCTCCATGATGTTTCTGGCAACTTGAATGTTTAATGTTCAATGCAATTTTCTTGAAATCTATCATCCTTTACTTGTGTTGTTGTGTGATTAGTGATTTTATCTTCGTTGTCCATGATTTACAGTCTCAGGACCATTTACTTGGTGTGGTGGTAAAAGCACCGTCAGCCAGCTTGAAGAAGTACATAATTTTAGTTTTGAAACCTGAATTACCTCCAACAATGCAATCCCCTACTGGCAGTGGTGCAGTCCTTGACATAGGGAGTAACAAATCTGGAGAAGGTTTCTTTGTGTTGCCCAAGGGAAAACGTGCTTTAGACGATGAATACTGTTCTTCTGTCACTGCTCGGAAGGGTACTGGTGTAATCAACATAAAATTGCCTTACCAGGGGGTGGCTGCTGGTGTGAATTATGAGGTCAGAGAAGTGGACAATAAAGAGTTCCTTTGCATCTGCAATTGCAAAATAAAGATTGACCAAGTTCGGCTTCTTGAAGATGTTAGCACTGCTGCCTATTCAAAAACTGTTCAGCAGCTTTCTGAAAAGAAACCCAATGGGAGTAAATATCCTCCAGCATTGGATCCTAAGAAGGGTATGTCTGACTGTCTTCCTACTTTCTGTACAGATAAATTAGTATTTAAGATGATATGCATTTTTCTAATCATATGTTTTGCCAATTGTCATTTGGAGAATTTGAATGTTTGATTTTAAAATCAGAGAGAGAAAGAGGAGGGGGGGGAACCAGTTGCAAAGGCATGCCTAGGCGCAAGGCATTAGGGATCATGCGCCTTTTGTGGTCTAGGCAAGGGTATTTTGATGAGGCGCACCAAGGCACGGCTTAAGGCGCATTGAGGCGTACCCCCTGATTTTATCATGTTTATTATATGCCCCTCACTTCAAAGAGACGTGCCTTGGGCGTAGGCAACTCTGAAACGTCTTGGTGTGCCTTGAGCCTTTTTATACACTAGGGGAGACAGAAACGAAAAGCAATGCAATCATGAACCTCATGCTTTTTTTTCTGATTATGATTCAGATCTGAAGCTGAAAGATATGGAACTTGTTGAAGCTTACCACAAATGGGACAAGTTATTGCAGAACATGACTGAGAACAAGTGCCACGGATGTATAAAGTTGGATGAACATATGAAATTAGTTAAAGAGATTTTCAAGTACAGAGATGAAGTCAATGATTTGACATTTCAAATGTCTGACAAAGCACTTCAACAGATGCCTGACTTTCACGGACGGGTATGGCTGGTTAATTGTGATCTGTTTTGCTTTGTTGCAAATAAGTAACTGATCATTATATTCCTCTTCTCTTTCGTACAGATAAATGTTCTTAAGGAAATTGGCTGTATAGATGATGACCTTGTAGTTCAGATCAAAGGACGTGTTGCTTGTGAAATGAACTCCGGAGAGGAGCTTATATGCACTGAGTGTTTGTTTGAGAACCAGTTAGAGAACCTAGAACCAGAAGAAGCAGTTGCTGTAATGTCTGCATTTGTTTTTCAGCAGAAGAATACTTCTGAGCCTTCTCTTACTCCCAAGCTATCTGCTGCAGTACAGAGGTTAGCACCTACTTTGCTCATTTAATATGTACTCTTGAATTCTTCCATGCTGTATCTATTAGATATCTGTGTAGGTCAAGCTGGTCTCAGGTAGATGCCAAGATTTTGCAAGGAATCAATATTTAGGGGAGGCCATGTTAGTCACAGTTTATTAGTAGTAACTTAGTAACTTAGGGAATAAGCTAGAGGTTTGTTAGGAGGGATTTTCTATAAATAGGTCTTATTAGGAGGAATAAGGAGATGTTGAATGTTGTGAGGTTTGTTATTGGGAGAGAATGAGCCTCTCAAAAGCTCATACTTGAAGAGAATCCACCTCTCGAAAGTGGAATTATCATTCGAATGAGTATAATTATCATCTTATCAATATAATCACCATTTTTTTTTATTTTCTGCCATTTTTAGTGCTGTAATCATGTCAGTTCCTAGCAGATTTCTAGGATTTGATATAATTGGGCTAGTCAAAGGGAGGATAGAGAAATGTGTGTGTCGTAGAGTAAGAGATCATGCCATGGAACTGAAAAAGCTGCCCAAGCTGTTATCGCTAGCTGGGTGTGGGAGGACTTGCAAGAGACTAGGTTTTAGGCCTTTTAGCTATCTATAGATGCTTCATGATCTCACCTAGGGGTACACTTGATTTTCTTGTATCTTATTAGATTCTAGTTTGTCTTTAGTTTGTTTATTAAACTAAATCTTCTTGCAGATTATATAATACAGCCATCAGACTGGGCCAGTTACAGGCAAGCTTTCAACTCCCAGTTGACCCTGAGGAGTATGCTCGGGAAAATCTTAAGTTTGGTCTTGTTGAAGTGGTTTATGAATGGGCAAAGGTAAATAATTTTCTGCTGATGACACTCGTATCTCATGAAATCCTTACATGAGAATTGATTACTCAATGCTTCATTTCATGGATCCTTTGGAAGCTAAACTTTTGAAGCATCTTTGTGGCAGGGCACAGAATTTGCTGATATTTGTGAGCTGACAGATGTTCCTGAAGGCTTGATAGTGAGAACAATTGTTCGACTTGATGAAACATGTCGAGAATTCAGAAATGCTGCAGCTATTATGGGAAACTCAGCTCTACACAAGAAAATGGAAGCTGCTTCAAATGCCATCAAGCGTGATATTGTCTTTGCAGCTAGCTTGTACATCACAGGAATCTGACTGCATGTTTATGGTGCTTTCAACTGACATCCCCAGTGTGACTAGTTGTATTTCAATGGGTTTTAAGAAAGAGGATTAAGGAGATTACTAAAAGATTTGACCTTGTATGTTAGTTGTAATGAATGATCATTACTGGAGAATTATATATATATATATATATATATATATATAACAAAAACATTTTTTTTTGCAAATCCAGGATCTTATACTGCAAATTAAGGATTGTTAGAGCTGTGTTGTATGTTCCTTCGCCTGGAATTAGTTGTCCTTTTTTTGTTTTAAACCTTGAAAATTCCTGGACGGAGGGAATGGTTGATCGAATGAATCAGGCAGGTCAGGGACTCAGGGGTACAGGGTACTGCTGCTGTTTGTAATCCTTGTAGTGAAATTGATTCTTAACAAGACAAGTGAAGGTAATATACCAACAGAATTTTCTGTAGTGCCTAGAACTGGGAACTGTCAAATATAAAACTGATAGATAGCATAAGTGTCCAGGTAAATAATCTTATTATTGAGATACATAGGTACTTTGAATCATACTAAAATTCTACTTAAGAACTCCCACAAGCAGCAAGAGACAGCAGCTTAGTTGTCGCTCCTTTTTGGCTTATCAGAAGCAAGAGTAACCTGTATCAGTTGCAATTTTTCAATTTAAAACCTGGATATATTACTGTATGTAACAAAGGTAGTGTTTTGGTTCAGGTTTCCAATGTTACCTGATCATCTGCAGACGGTATCCAGTCATTCGTTGCTGGATTTCCCTGGGAAGAAGCGTGATGGGCGAGGTCGAGATCAGGAGCAATGTAGTAAGATTTCTCATTGTCATTCTCCATCTTGATGAATCCTTTTCCTGTCTGTAATACATACAGTATATTTATCAGTTGGTTATACTACTCGCTAGATTTATCCGACACTAACAAAATTTTCCAATTCCAAATTCTATCTAATATCATCGTAATATAGATCCATCTATTATCTATATTTATTAAACTTAATTTTGCCCCTCGAAAAAACTACATATTTGGATTTTAGAATCATTTAAATATCAGTATTATTGTACAAACATTCTGAATATTATGCTCCTAATTCACAACTACTATGTTAAGACGTTAACAAGGCTTCAAAGGTAGGTTTCTTGTGCAGACTCATAATGAACACGACATAATGGAAAATCATAGCACGATTTTATGAATTTTCAATAGCAATGAACAAATGAACTCCACACTCACATACCGTGTGATGTTGCTTATCCACACAATTCAGATCCTTGTAATACTCTGTCTCCACAAACTCCTCACTCGCTTGGCTTTCATTCTCGTACTCTTTTTTCTGCAACAAATAGAAAAAAAAATTGTTAGAAAAAGATGAACATATTTTGTGTATGTTTGTTGATTACTACGTCATGATATAAGATCAAGTTTGATGAGCACCTCTTGATCATTTTCGAGGCATTGAAACTTGACATATTCAGGGATCGCGGAGGAATCGTTGTTGTTAACATCGACGTATTTGGTGGAATACTCGCTACGTTGTGGCTTAGTGTGACGCTTAGGAGCTAAGCCATCAAAATACTCCTTGGTTTCTTCCTCTATTTTTGCTTGTTCCTCTTTGCTCAAGTGTGTGTCACTCCTATTTGGCATCCTCGAAGACTCCATTTCTCTTGTTCTTTTTCTTTTTCTTTTTCTTTTTTCCCCTTATATCATTCAAGATTTTTGATCTTATGATATGAATTGAGCAAAGTTATAGGATAAGGTTTCAGTACTCTTAGAAATGAAGATATTTTCTGAGTTAGTTGGGTTTTGATATTCATAAATTGTAATTATTTCAAAGATGTACTAGTGTAGTGTAAGATATTTGAACGAGTGGCTAAATTTGTCCATTGCTATTTGTTAGGTTTGGTAGGGAATTTGTTCTTCAATCATTGGCCCCATACCCTGTGGATTGTGGATTCGTTTCTTACTTGCATGGCTGCACCTCAAAATGGGGGCTACTTTAGTCATTTTGTGTTTGCTATTAAAGGCATTTATGGGATACATTTAGTGCTTATATATCTCCTCCGTTTTAATATACTTGTACTCGTATCACATTGTTATTCACACACTCTTTATTTGCCTATTAATTGCAATTTATATACAAGGGAAAATGTAATTATATAGGAATTTACAACTTCTTAAAAGTACTTTTTATAATTTTTACTTATATATGTAGTATAAATAAAGATGTGGAGGGTTACAAATGTATTTTGGGAAGCATTATACTTTATTCCCTCGTATTCCAATACTAAAAGAGTAAAGGAAGTTTAAATTAATTGTTTCTAATACACAAATGATAAAATATTAAGATTATATATTTAAGTTCAAACCTATGGTTTCGGGCACCAAATAGGTCTCTGAGTGCCTTTGGGAACCTATAGAAGAACCATGATGCATAATCTTGTCAAATAAAAAATGTTCTCAAGTAGCCTAATTTAAAGGTTATAATACAAGAAATTGAAGTAACTTCAAAAATTTCGGGACTCAATGTCAAAAACTGACGGAATAGTATGGATCGCAACCTGTAGTCATATAATGTTGTTTGTAATCATATGTGACCATTAATTAGTCACATAAAGGCTCTTGACGGCTTTGATTCAATGGAATGAGGCATATTTGTACATGGTAAAATTAAAAGTTTAAAGGCAAAGTGAGAGGTTCTAGACAACCAAATGGGTACCTAAGGTGTTGTGGGGTCCGTAGGAAGTTACTCAAGCTCTTATCTTCTCGGGTTTGGGTAGGTAAGAGTGGGTCGGGTCAATTCGGATTAATTCCATAACCTATGTGGGTCAGGTTTGGGTTGGGTCATGCTTGAGTCGGGTCACGTCGGGTCATACTTCTTATCGGGTTTAGGTCAGTTAATAACAAAGTCGGGTTACATTCAGGTCGAGTGGTCAATGTTTAATTTGGGTTTTCACGGGTTAAAAAACGGGTTAGGGTAATTCTCGGGTTCGAGTCGGGTTCGGTTCAAGTAAAAAATTTGCGGGTTAGAATCAGGTCGGGTCATTCTCAGGTTTGAGTCGGGTTCGGTTCAAGTCAATAATTGCGGATTATAATAAGGTCAGGTAATTTTCAAGTCAGGTCATTCTCGGGTTCAAGTCAAGTTTGGTTCAAATCAATAATTTGCGGGTTAAAATCGAGTTGGGTCATTTTCAAGTCGGGTCATTCTCATATTCAAATCGGGTTATGTTCATGCCAATAATTTTTAGGTTACAATCAGGTCGGGTCATTTCCAAGTCAGGTCATATTCGAGTTCAACTAATTATAAATAGATAATTATCATATTTATCAAGCTAATTATTTCCTTTGACTATAATATATATGGAATATACTACGGAACTATAGTCTATAATTTAGGAAGATAATTATCTCCTTAAACCATACAACAAATATATACTATATTTAACTCTTAACTTTGAAAATGATGCTCCTTTCTTTTGCTGGCCTGGACCAACTTGATCTCCCTAGATAAAATGCTTTGATCAACAATAATAAGGTGATCTAAATTGCATTTAAGGTGATTTGAAATCGGGTTAGGAACAATTTGGGTTGAATTTAGGTCGGGTCAATAACAAATCGTGTTAATTTCGATTCGAGTTAGTAACAGATCGGGTTGAATTTTTGGTCGGGTAAGTAATAGGTCTGGTAAAATTCGGGTGGGGTCAATAACAAGTCGGGTTTAATTTGGGTTAGGTCAATAACAAGTCAGGTTGATTTCGGGTCGGGTTACATGTTGGGTTAAATTCGGGTCGGGTTGAATTCAAATCATGTTAGTAACAAGTCGGGTTAAATTCTGGTTTTGACGGGTTAATACAAGTTTAGGTCAATTTCGGTTCAAGTCAGGTTCGGTGCAAGTTAATTAAATTGGCAGTTGTAAACCAGTAACTAGGTACAAGTTGTAAACCGATAAATTGGTCGTTTAAAAGCAAATTGGATGGTTCCACCTATCCAATTGAACTCCCATAGGGTATTAGGGACCATGGTAAACATTTCAGCAATTTTTATTTTTGGGCGAAAAACAGTTAAAAAATTCCAAAATTGAAGGCTAATATCCACACTTTTTGAGGAATTTTGGAGGTTTCGGGGTCCGGTATTGAAAAGTCTTGAAATTCTAGGGGATATATCTCGGGGACATATAATGTCGTTTGAAATCATATATAATCATCATTTGTTATCATAAATGTTCGTGGTAGACTTGAGTTAATGAAATAGGTGCAAGTTGTAAAACGGTAAATTGGTCGTTTAAAACCAAATTAGATGGTTCCACCCACCCAATTAGACTTCCGGAAGTTACTAGAAAATATGGTAAACATTTCGGTAATTTTAATTTCCGGGCAAAAAAAAGTCAAAAAATTCCAAATTTGAAGGCTAATATCCACGCTTTTTAAGAAATTTTTGTAGGTTTCGAAGCCCAATGTCGAAAAGACTTGAAATTTTAGGGGATACATCTCGGGGTCATATAATGTCATTTGGAACAATATATGATCATTATATGTTGTCATAAATGTTCGTGGTAGTCTTGAATTAATGAAATCGGTGCAAGATGTAAAACGACAAATTGACCGTTTAAAAGCAAATTGGATGGTTCCACCTACCCAATTGGACTTCCAGAGGGTATTAGGGACCATGGTAAACATTTTGGCAAGTTTTATTTTTGGGCAAAAAAAGTCAAAAAATTCCAATATTGAAGGCTAATATCCACACTTTTTGTGGAATTTTGGAGGTTTCGGGGTCCGGTATTGAAAGGCTTGAAATTCTAGTGGATATATCTCGGGGACATATAATGCCGTTTGGAACCATATATAATCATCATTTGTTGTCATAAGTATGTTCGTGGTAGACTTGAGTTAATGAAATCGGTGCAAGTTATAAAACGGTTAATTAGTTGTTTAAAAGCAAATTAGATGGTTCCACCCACCCAATTGGACTTCCGAAAGGTATTAGGAAATACGGTAAACATTTGGGTAATTTTTATTTCCGGGCGAAAAAAAAGTCAGAACATTCAAAATTTGAAGGCTAATATCCACGTTTTTTAAGAAATTTTGGAGGTTTCGGATCCCGGTGTCGAAAAAGCTTGAAATTTTAGGGGATATATCTCGGGGTCATATAATGTCATTTGGAACAATATATGATCATTATATGTTGTCATAAATGTTCGTGGTAGCTAGGCTTGAATTAATGAAATCGGTACAAGATGTAAAACGGTAAATTGGCCGTTTAAAAGCAAATTGGATGGTTCCACCTACCCAATTGGACTTCCAGAGGGTATTAGGGACAATGGTAAACATTTTGGCAATTTTTATTTTTGGGCGAAAAAAAGTCAAAAAAATTCCAAAATTGAAGGCTAATATCCACACTTTTTGAGGAATTTTGGAGGTTTCGGGGTCCGGTATTGAAAGGCTTGAAATTCTAGTGGATATATCTCGGGGACATATAATGCCGTTTGGAACCATATATAATCATCATTTGTTGTCATAAATGTTCGTGGTAGACTTGAGTTAATAAAATCAGTGCAAGTTGTAAAACGGTAAATTGGTCGTTTAAAAGCAAATTGGATGGTTCCACATACCCAATTGGACTCCCAGAGGGTATTAGGGACCATGGTAAACATTTCAGCAACTTTTATTTTCGGGCGAAAAAAATTCAAAAAATTCCAAAATTGAAGGCTTATATATTTACACTTTTTGAGAAATTTTGGAATTTTCGGGATCCGGTGTTGAAAAGTTTTGAAATTCTAAGGGATATATCTCATGGACATATAATGCCATTTGGAACCTTATCTAATCATTATTTGTTGTCACAAATGTTCGTGGTAGACTTGAGTTAATGAAATCGGTGCAAGTTGTAAACCGGTAAATTGGTCGTTTAAAAGCAAATTGGATGGTTCCACCCACCCAATTGGACTTTCGAAGGGTATTAGGGACTATGGTAAACATTTCGGTAATTTTTATTTCCAGACGAAAAAAAGTCAAAAAATTCCAAATTTGAAGGCTTATATCCACGCTTTTTAAGAAATTTTTGAGGTTTCGGAGCCCGGTGTCGAAAAGGCTTGAGATTTTAGAGGATACATCTCGGGATCATATAAAGTCGTTTGGAAACATATATGATCATTATATGTTGTCATAAATAATCGTGGTAGGCTTAAATTAATGAAATCGGTGCAAGATGTAAAACGGTAAATTGGCCGTTTAAAGGCAAATTGGATGGTTCCACCTACCCAATTGGACTCCCATAGGATATTAGGAACCATGATAAACATTTCGGTAAATTTTATTTTCGGTCGAAAAATATTCAAAAAAAATTCTAAAATTGAAGGCTATATCCACACTTTTTGAGAAATTTTGGAGTTTTCGGGGTCCGATGTTGAAAAGTCTTGAAATTCTAGGGGATATATCTCAGGGACATATAATGTCATTTGGAATCACATATAATCATTATTTGTTGTCATAAATGTTCGTGGTAGACTCGAGTTAATGAAATCGGTGCAAGTTGTAATCCGGTAAATTGGTTGTTTAAAAGAAAATTGAATGGTTCCACCCACGACCCAATTGGACTTCCGGAGGGTATTAGGGAATATGGTAAACATTTCGATAATTTTTATTTCCATGCAAAAAAAGTCAAAAATTCTAAATTTGAAGGCTAATATCCACGCTTTTTAAGAAATTTTGGAGGTTTTGGAGCCCGGTGTCGAAAAGACTTGAGATTTTAAGGGATACATCTCGTGGTCATATAATGTCATTTAGAACCATAAATGACCGTTATATGTTGTAATTAATGTTCGT